AAACTGCTACAAACTGAGTTCAGTGGGCGTAATGTTTTTGAACGTCTCGAGTTTGGTTCGATATGGCAGCGATACATGAGTAAATATAGTGTTTTATATAGGCATAGGGCATGTTGTAAACAGATAGACATTTAAAAAATATTATATTAGAAATCGCCACGTCGTTAATATGAGTTTTTAATCGTTCTTACAAAACGGCGACCGTGCGGTCGTTTATGTATCATCATCCATGTAGGTATAGATATATCTTTAGAATGCATACGGACATCAGTTTTTAGATTTATTGTGATTTTGGAATTCGAAAGTTCCAATTTATTACGTTATGACGTAATTTTACATCTAGCCGACAATTGGTTAATTAAATTATTTACAGAGCCAAAAAGACAAGTATTTATTATATAATGTATATAGTTTGTTTCAGAAAACCAAAATGTATTAAATGATTTAAGAAATATATCTCATCTCCATACCTATCGATATACCTATCTAATAAATTAAATTGTTCGCATATTTAACCTAACCTACAAACATTAAATAAAAATATAATTTCGTTGAATGAAATAATATTTAGCATGTTGATTGCTTTGTGAAATCTGTATGATTAATGGTCAAAAAAACCATTAAATCTCTTTATAGTCTTTACATATTATACGTTATACCTTTATAAACATGAAAACCACGAATTGCATCATGCCTGTAACAATTATTCTGATACCATACCGTAATAATCTACATAATATGTGTATTGAGTTCTTGGACTAGCTGTGTACAATTCGACTTAAAATTATTTATTTTAATTTCAAAATACATTATCAATGTTAGTGGCCATTTATCACTGTGCAAATAATGCTCGACATATTACTAGTTATATGTATACGAAAATTAAAATATAACGAATGAAATATCAATTTCGACTATTGAGTGGGCTACAAGAACCGGGGTATATCAGCTGTGAAATCTATATATGGGTATGCACACTTGAAACTTGTGTTTTAGAAAAGTGACTAAACCAAAGTGATTGATGTTTAATCGGCTATGGGCTTTTACTTATTAGTTATTATAGGTACATGTTTTCGTAGTGTTTGTAGTAACTTACAATAAGGTATAGGAAATTAAAAAAAAAAAATGAACTTTATAGCTTTATTCTCGCGTTCTGTCATAAATCTAGACAAGAACTCGGCCTGTTGAGTACTTTAATTTTACCCTCAATGGTAGGTTTCAATAAAAAGTAAAAACCAATGACTATGACCAATTTCTATTACTYGATGAGTTTATAAAATGTAAATAAACATTTAAAATCGAAAAATATACATATTTGTATAGAGTAAAAAAATCTCATTAAAAAAACGGTATTTAAATAGTCGATGTCAAATTAAAAACTACTGTTCAAAATGCTGGTAAAAATTCAGAGAATTGGCTAATAATTTATGCTTCAATCTTAGAATTTAAAAAACATAAAACCTCGGAAATAAGTATAATTTATT